CAGAGGGCCCTGGCCAGGGTGGTGTCGGGGTGCCGTCCGAAGTCGACCACCGTGGCGGAAGCACCAACGCGGGGGCCTGCGCGCAACGTCAGGTAGCGAGCAGAGGTTTTCCGGGCGGCCGGCGCGGGGCGGGCCTGTGGCCGGGTCGCTGACCTTAGTAGGCTCGGGCCGGGCCGGAGAACTGGGGCGCGGCGCTTGGCCGGCCGGCCCGCGAGCACTTCGTGTTTTCGGGGTGAGTCATCGTCTAGACGGCCGTGGGAGCAGCTGAGAAGCAGCCGGGCCTCCAGCTCCCACTCTTCCGGTCTCCTCGCGGTGGTCCGCGGCGCTCGGGAAAGTTTTAACTGCACCGACGCCGACGGCTCCAGGAGCCGTGGGAATCCTGCCTGGCAGACGCTTTCTTTCTTGCCGCTTTGACTCCGGCCACTCGGCCCTCGGAAAATGAAACGCAGCCAACAAAGAGGACCTGGTGTGTGCGTGCGTGCGTGCGTGTGTGTTTTCACTCTGCTGTAACTTAGAGGTCCTGTAACCTTCAAGTCGGCTCTGCCTTCAGTTTTCCTGGTTGGCCCACTTATGGGGGGGGGTGTTGAGGATGGAGATGAATGTAGAGACCTGAAGGGTACTATAAGTTTACTACGCAGTTTTTCTGTTACGAATAATACTGTAATAAATTATTCTCAAAGATCACACCTGTAACCCTGGCAGTGAGGCTCAGGTAGGAGGATCGCTGTGAGTTCGAGACCAACCTAACTTACAAAATGAGACCCTGTCTCAAGACCGAAAAGCAAAATTAATATTTGAAATGAATTGTATGTGTACGTTATGGAGGAGAAAGCACAAATCTTGGTGAGTTCCAGGAGATTTCAGTTGAAGACTTTAAAATAGCAAGAAAGAGGTGGGGCCTGGTACTTAAGGTCGCCCCTGGTCTGCATAGCTAGTTCCAGACCAGCTAGAACGACATGGTGAGATCCTGCCTCAAAAACAAACAAAAAGTATCAGCAATGTTCCACCTCCAAACCCCACAGAATCATTTGTTGAAACTAAAGTGATATCAGATAGTTTATCTTCAGCTCATAGCTTTCCAAGCAGGACATAACCTCCTCATACTTCAAATCTGCTTATATTACTCATTAAATGCCAATTTGCTGCCTGTGGTCTGAGGCTTGTGCTCAGGATATCCAGACCAGCCTGTGAAGTATTGAAAGATTGGATCTCAAAAAGAAAAAAAAACAACCCAAAAATGGTTTGTGAATACATAAAAGTATTACATCAGCTTGTGTTATGCCCTTTATTATAGGTTGTTTGAAAGAATAGTTTTGGAATATTAATGATCAAAACTGTTTGCAGTGTGTCTCAGTATTCATTTGCTGGTTTGATTGCGTAAGCAGCTAACTGTGTGGCTCTCCACATTGCAATTCTAGCCTCTCTGGGCAGGTGAATGGGAGGTGCTAGAGCCAGTTGTGGGCCATGAACATGTTAACCAGCTCTACTACTTAGCTCTATATCCCTACCCCTTAATAATGTGTAAAAATAGATGTTTTGTCCAGGATGCCATAACCAAAACAGACATAGTGATCAGGAAATCTGTTACTGTTTTAAGCACACACAGTTTTCTTAGGAGTATGATCAAATTGTGTAAGGTTGTCTTAGAGGGCTTCCTACTCAGCTTGACTCTTTGGAAACAGGCATCTTGTAGAGGTAGGGTGTGTGTGTGTGTGTGTGTGTGTGTGTGTGTGTGTGTGTGTGTGTGTGTGTGTCCCCGTTCGTTCGTCCTCTGGTAGGGACTCTGGCCTTGTGCATGCTAGGTGCATGCTGGCCTGTGATCTGCATGTTTTTTGTTTTGAGACATTGTCTCATGGTATAGTCCTGGCTGGCCTGGAACAGTCAGAGATCCACCTGCCTCACCTCTCTGAGTCTTGGGAGTAAAGGCAGGTATGCCCTCATACCCGACCCCTCTATTATCTTAAAAAGAAAAGTCTGGTGCTAGCTCTTGTGGTACCCACCAGTCACATAAGGAATCTCATATGCATCTTCTACTCCAGGAAATCCAAGGCCTCTGGCCTTCTTAGTCACTAGTACCCACATGCACATAATGGTAAAAAGGTTCATTATCAAGATTCCTGCTGCATACCTGTTAATTCCAGCACCACAGGAGACTGACACATAAGATTTCAAGGTCAAGTCTCACCTGTCTACACAGAGTAAGACTGTCTCAAAAATAAAAGCAAACAAGGAAAAAGACAGAAGGCAGGTGGATCTCTGCTAGTTCAGGGCTGACTTGGTCTATCTAGCAAGTTCCAGGCTAGCCAGGACTGCATAGAGAAAATAAACAACTAGGCATTTTGCATACTAGGTTTTGTTTCTTATTTTTTTTTGGCTATACACATAGTTTATTTTTATAAATTCTCATTGTCAACATTTTATTTATCTATTGAGACAGGGTCTTACTCTGTAGTTTCGGCTGTCCTGGAACTCACTCTGTAGACCAGGCTGGCTTTGAACTCACAAAGATCAAACTGCCTCTGCCTCACAAGTGCTAGGATTAACGGTGTGTGCCAAGGCTTTGTGAACTTTATATTAATTAGTGTGTGTTAGTGTGGGTGCACTTGTGCCACAGAGTATGGTGTGTGCACATGGAGAAGTTAGACGACTTCCACCATGGGTCATTGGGGTTGCACTCAGGCCATCAGGCTTGGTGACAAGTACATTTACTTGCTGAGACATCTCTGTGATCCCCAAATAAAATAAGCTAGATATGGTGTTGCATGCCTTTGATCTCAGCACTTGGGAGTTGGTGACAGGCTTTCCTGAGCATAGCAGCCATCTCCTGTCCAGGAGACATTTATTTTGTATCGTCCCTCTTTAGCCTTCATTTTTAGATTGTTTACTACCCATTTTTCTGCTGTGTTCCTTGAGCCTAGGAGTAGGTGATAATAGATGTCCCATTTAAGGCTGATTGTTCAGTACTTTAACTAGCCGTGAGTTTTTGTATGTGCTTCCACCCACTTGCAAAAAGAAACTGTCTGACAGGCTGCATATCGCAGTCAGTTATGGATATAAATGTAAGTAAGTATTTAGAAAACAGTTGACAACATGTCCATTTAGCAAAACAACAGTAATAGCTTCCATGCTAAGGCCTGTGACCTTCCAGATTCACAGTACCAAGCATGAATTTCTTCCTGTGGAGTAGGCCTCAGATCCAATCAGAAAAACATCCATTACCCGCATAGTAGTCATGCCAGTATTGCACTATTGAGCACATCTTGCCTGCTAAGTTGATATTGTAGCCCAAAGTGTCCTCAGCTGGGTAATCTATTAATGACTTGATCCATATCATCCTGTCATACTACTTTCCTGCACCGTGAAAGTTTGCCATCAGGAGAGAGGAAGCTACCAGCTCAGTTCCAGCTTGATCCCCCTATGCCTTGCAACTTTATAGTTTTCTTCTTCTTTGTTTGTTGTCTGTATACACTTTGTGTGTGTGCACTCCCAGGGCTTCCTTTTTTTAAATTTTATTTATTTAGTATGTATACAGTATTCTGCCTGCATGTGTCTCTTCATGCCAGAAGAAGGCACCAGATCTCATTACAGACTGCTGTGAGCCACACCATGTGGTTGCTGGGAATTGAACTCAGGACATTTGAAACAGCAGCCAGTGCTCTTAACCTCTGAGTCATCTCTCAGCCCCCCAAGGCTTCCTTTTAAGTGTGGGGGGAACAGCATGCTATATGCATCTGACTTCGTGTGGATTCTTGAGAACTGAGGTTCCCATGCTTGCATAGCAGGAGCTTTACCCACTGGGCCATCTCTTGAGCCTACAGTATTTTTTATACTGTCCTCCCGGACTGTTACACTGCTCCTACATTGCTGGTCTTTTCTGAGTTTGTTTTGTTTGACTCTAATGGAGTCCAGCCAACTTCAAACTCTTGTGTAGCCTTGGATGGCCTTAAGTCTCTGGGAGGCCTAGTGCTGAAATTACAAGTGTCTGCCCCTTAGCCTGGATGCTTGTTTGTTGGTTAGACAGAGTCTCCCTGTCTGGATCTTTCTACCTTTGCCTCCCAAAGTGCTGGGATTTCAGGTGTGTACTGCTGTGTCAGACTGTTAGTCTTTTTTAGTTTCCGGATACTGCTAAGCTTTTCCCTACCACCTGGAATGCCCCCATTTATTTACATATTTATGAGCATGTTTTTTATATTCATATGTATGTACATTTTACCATTGAGCTATAGCCCATCCCATTTTTATTTTGAGACAGCCAGTTTCCCAGGCTGGCTTTGAACTCAAGATCTTGCTTAACCTCCTGGGGATTACAGGCCTGTACCACTAAGCAGTCCTACTTCTTGTATAGACACTAAAACAAGACTTCCAGAGCTTCCAGGGACACTTTATCTAAAGATTCTGATCATGACTCCACACCCATTTGTTTTTAGCAATTTAAGAAAAATACTTAGTAGTCTGTATTTGTGTATATGATGTACAGTGAGTGTGTGAGGGTCAAAGGACAATTTGGTAGAATTGGTTCTCTCCTTTTGTCTTTACATGGGTTTCAGAATTGTCAGGTTTTTGAGTTAATGTCTTTACCTGCAGAGCATTTTTTGCTGGTCCCCCAGACTTTTATCTTTTTTTTCTTTAAAGCATTGTGTATATATGTGGGTCTGTGTGTTTGAATGTACACGAGTGTAGGTGCTCTCAGAGTCCAGAAGAAGGTTCAGATCCCCTGGAACGGGTCATTGTGAGCTACCCAGTTTGGGTTCTGAAAACTGAACAAAGGTGTTATAACGAGATTGAAGTCCAGCTGTAGTCCGTAAGGTTAAGATACCTTTATTCAGATGAACACCAGCCAAACTTAAGCCAGAATGTGCCCAGAGGCAGCAGGCTAGGGAGGCCAGAGAGAACTCCCACGTGTCTGCTGCCCCCTTAAGAACTCCCCGAGAGTCATCCTGAACCTACCCTGACCACGCCCTGGCAGTCGTAGTCAAGCATACCTGTACCTAGCTCCTAGGCCTACAGTGTCTCCCTACAAGGTGTCTGTAGGAATAGTATACACTGTTAAAGGATGAGCCATCTCTAGCTCCACATTTTCTTTTTGAAGAGTTTTGTTTTCAATTATGTTTCTGTATCTGTGTATGAGATGTATGCGTGAGTGCAGGTGCCCTTTGAATTCCTAGCTACAGTGTAATCTTTGGAAGGTTCATATTTGTTCTGTTTACTGTGATAATCTGTAGTGATTAGCAGTCAAGCCTAGAATAAGAGCCTATGTCTATGTGGACTAAGAGTTTACCAGTATGTGGACTAATAGTGGTTGGATAGTATAAAATAGTTATTCAGTAAGCTTGTTAGATAAAGGTGGATAGGGCTAGAGATACAACTCAGCAGTTAAGAGCATTTTTGACTCTTCCAGGGTCCTGAGTTCAATTCTCAGCAACCACACAGTGAATGGTGGCTCATAATCATCTATAACGGGATCTGATGCCCTCTTCTGGCATGCAGGCATACAAGCAGACAGAGCACTCATACATAAATAAATTTCTTAAAAGGGTGAGCACGAGCATACTTGACGTCTGGCATAGGCTCATCTCAAACAGCCACCACTTTGTAACAGGATATACTGTAACACATGCATGTTGAAATAAATGATTAGGAAATCAGAGGAGCAGCAGCTCTGACAGTGCCAGATTCTGGATCTGAGACTGAGGTCTGATTCAGGTTTCATTGGTGTGGCAGGAAACAACTTGGATGTATAAGGTGAACTGGGTAATAGATGAAGAATATACAAGCAAGCCTATGGCTTAGTGTGTTGTAAAACATAGTTGCCAACTGAAAGCCAGCTCCTGAGAAGATAACATTTGTTCCAGAAGCTTCTAACCACACTGTCAGTTGTTGTTTAATTTAGGTTTACTCATTTTATGTATATTGGTGTTTTGCCTGCATGTAAGTCTGTGTGGGGGTGTCATATCTCCTAGAACTGGGATTACAGACAGTTGAAAGCTCCCACATGGGTGCTGGGAATTGAAACTGGGTCCTCTGGAAGAGCAGCCAGTACTCTTTTACTCTGAGTCACCTCTCCAGCCCCTGTTGTAATTTTCTTTATGCTACTTAGAAGTTTATCTTTCTGAGTCTATGCCTATGTTTTCATACTACTCTAAAATTGCAAACTCTTCTGAAATATAATTGCTTTTTATAATGCCTGTATAATTTGTGTTTAATTTTTATCTTAAATGTTATAAATTGTTTTTTAGATACTTAGCTTCCTGTGGTATACTGATGAACAGAACTCTTCCACCACATACCTCAGTTTTACCTAAAGAGATCTACGCAAGAACATTCTTCAAAATCACTGCACCATTAGTAAATAAACGAAAAGAATATTCAGAGAGAAGAATTATAGGGTTAGTATATAATAATAATTTTATTAAGAACACACTTAATTTTTCTATAGAATGGCGTGCTGCTTTCTCTCTGGATTATCTTCCTATAGATTAGACTGCTTTTTCTAGGTTAACCTGTCTATAACCCTTGATGTTTTATGTATATTTATGCATATTGTTGAGGGACTCTAATATTTTATTAACTGTGTAGGATAAAAGTAACCTTGATATTTAAAGGAAATCATTTATGACTTGCATCTTTGTTATTCTTTCATGATTATTAAGACCAATTAAAACATAAATGAAGGCTCAAATTTTGTTGTAACCCAAATCATCTCCCCCCCCCCCCCCCCCCCATTTTGGGGGAATTTTAAGACAAGAGTTTCTCTGTGCAGCCCTGACTGGCCTTAAACTAAGAGATCTGCCTGCCTGAGTTCTGAGATAACCACCACCCTACCCAAAATCTCCCTTTGTAATTTAAGATTAATTATAATTTTATGGTGGTTTATAGTTTAACTGTGTCCAGGATCTGTTTGTTTATTTGAGTTTTGAGACAGGGTTTTACTATGTAGCACTGGCTAGCCTGGTACTTGCTATATAGCTCTAGATGGACTTGAACTCTTGACAATTCCTCTTACCAGAGCCTCTTGAGAGTTAAGATTTTAGGTATGTGTTCCTATGTTTTCCTTGCCTTTATGAGTAAGAATAATAAATATCTGGCTCCCAGGTTTTTACATATATTTAAAGAGTTATATTGTTATTTGGTCATTGTCTCAGTTGGTGTTCTATTACTATGAAGAGACACCATGACCAAGGCAACTCTTAAAAAAGAAAGCATTTAGTTGGGGCTGGCTTCGAATTTCAGAGGCTTAGTCCATTATCATCATGGCAGCAGGCATGGCAGGCATGGTGCTGGAGAAGTGGTTGAGAGCTACTTTCCAATTTGCAGGCAGGCAGAGAGAGCCTGGGTCTAGCTTAGGCTTTTAAAACCTCAAAGCCTACCCCTAGTGACACACTTCCTCCAATAAGGCCACACCTACTCCGACAAGGTCCTAACCCTTCTCAAATACTCCTAATGACTAAGCATTCAAGTCTATGGGGACTATAGTCATTGTGACCTCTGTCATATGTGTATTTACAGTCCTTTCACTTTCTATGTTGTTTGAACTCATCCATTCCATCATGTGGTTCGATATGTGTGCCAAATGATTTATATTCGAATCTTTTATTTGTATTCTATTTAAAACTCATATCTCATAGAATCCATTGTTAATGTTATTTATCTCTCTTCTTTAGATACTCAATGCAAGAAATGTATGATGTGGTATCAGGAATGGAAGATTATAAGCATTTTGTTCCTTGGTGTAAAAAATCAGACATAATATCTAGGAGATCTGGGTATTGTAAAACTCGATTAGAAGTTGGGTTTCCACCTGTTTTGGAGCGATATACATCAGTTGTAACCTTGGTAAAACCACATTTAGTAAAGGTAAGTTTGTTTTTTGGTTGTTTTAATATTCCCTATATGTTTATCATACTAAATGAGTTAAATAATATGTAATAGCTTGAAAGATACTTCTAGTAAGAGGAAAGGGGAAAAACCATTTATTGTAGATTTATACAGCATTAGCATAATTCTTTTCAAATAGCAGTTGGAGTAAAATTTGGAAATGAGAAGGTTGTTATTTTTCTGTTTTTCCTCTGATGACTACTGAATTGCAAGATAGATCATTTGGAAGTGAGAAATGTTTTCATCTATTAAACTAGGATATGTTGGGGGCCTGGAGAGATGGCTCAGTGGTTAAGAGCACTGACTATTTTTCCAGAGGTCTTGAGTTCAATTCCCAGCAACCACATGATGGCTCACAACCACCTTGAATGAGATCTGGTGCCTCCTGCTGGTATGCAGGCAGAAGACTGTATACATAATAAGTAAATAAAATCTTAAAAAATAAAAAATAAAATAGGGTATGTTTAAAAAAAAAGTAGGATATGAGAGCACATGCCTGCCTTCCTAACAGTAAAAGAAGGTCAGGCAAGTGGACTGTGAATTTGAAGTTAGAAAAGAAAATTTAATATATTGATATTTTCAGCATATTACTTTATCATACACATTTTCCCCATTCCTGAAACAGCATTTCTCTGTGTAACAGCTCTGGCTATCCTAGAACTCAGACCAGGCTGGCCAAGAACCACAGAGATTCACCTTCCTCTGAATCCTAGGTGCTGGGCTTACAGGTGTATGCCTTCACCATGCCTTCCCCTTCCCCCGGTTCCCTTTTTTTTTTTTTTTTTTTTTTTTTTTTAAGTTAAAGGAGAAGTGGTAAGACAGTGAAAGGCCAGAGAAAGTTAAAAGGAGCTTGGTGGTAGGGCGCTCGCCTTTAATTCCAGCACTCAGAAGGCAGAGGCAGATCTCTGAGTTCGAGGCCAGCCTGATCTATAGAGCGAGTGCCAGGATAGGCTCCAAAGCTACACAGAGAAACCCTGTCTCCGAAAGGAAGAAAGAAAGAAGAAAGGTAAAAAAGAAAGAGAAAGAGAGAGAGAGAGAGAGAGAGAGAGAGAGAGAGAGAGAGAGAGAAGGAAATTTATATGTGGGAGCAGAAAGATGTTTCAGTGATTAAGCTGATCTTTCAGAGGACTTGGTTCAGTTCCCACTACCCACATGGTGTCTTGCAACTGCCTGTAACTACAGTTCTAAGGGACCTGATGCCCTCTTCTGACTTCTGTGGGTACCAGGCATGTATGTGCTGCACAGACATACAGGCAGACAAAACAGTTTGTCCTAGAAATATGTACCCGATACTTTATGAACATGTCAGCCATTTCAGAGTGATGGTATAAGTATATGTTATTTTCCAACATAAAGAACGTGTTCACAATCACCTGTAAGTAGAACTGGAAATGGGTTTTTTAAAAACCACTCCCTGGGGTAGGGGGTTTGCCCCGTTGTCAGAGTACTTACTGTCAAGCACAAGGACCTGAGTGTGGCTCCCCAGCACTGAGAGTGGTATGTGGGCCATGACCCCCAGTCCTGGAAGGCAGAGGCTGGGTCTCTGAAGCTCAGATGGATGGACCCAGGCTCAGGGTTTTACTTCCTTATGGCTGTGTCCACACACCTGACATGAAGTGGTATAAGGGAGGAAGACTTTATTCTGGTTCATAGTTCAAATGAACCTTTCCTCATGGTAGAGAAAACATGGCAGTTGGTGAAGTCATGGCAGCAGAAGCTTGTGGTTCACAGGCCACACAGCATCCACAGTCAAGAATCACATCAGTGGATGCTGGTGCTTCACTTTCTCCTTTTGATTCAGTCCAGGACACCAGTTCTGGGACTCATGCTGCCCACATTTAGGGTGGGCCTTCATGTGGACCTAATCCCATAATCCTCTATAGACATGCCAGAGATTTGTCTCCAAAGTGATTGTACATCACGCAGACTCTGCCTCAAAAAGATGGCTAGTGATTGAGGAGGATACTGTGGTCAACACACATGAGCATTACACCCTCCCCACACACATACACACAGTTTTGTTGGTAAAGGAGTGAAATCGAATAAGGCTCAGTAGCACAGTGGGTGAGCACATGAGAGAGAACAGCTGACAATCTAGGATCCTAGAGGAAGAGAAAATGATTGACTTTGGTGAGAAGTTGTTACTTCCTTGTACTAAGCTACTAGGGGTCTTCATCTCTTGTATTCTGAGCTGATAAAGATAATTACTTTTCAAGTAAATAAGCCCCAGTGGTGGTAGATTCCTGCTCATATGAAAAGTATTTTTTTCTTTCTATTTTGTTCTAGGCATCTTGTACTGATGGGAAACTTTTCAATCATTTGGAGACTATTTGGCGTTTTAGCCCAGGTCTTCCTGGCTATCCAAGAACTTGTACCTTGGATTTTTCAGTAAGTCTGTCTTAAAGTTCTTGTTTATAGCTTTCAAGGGTCTCTTCTGTCCTTCTTTCATGTGGGTCCTGGGAAATTAAACTCAGATCATCAGGCTTGATGGTAATATGCCATCGAGCCATCTTGCCAGCCCCAATTTATGCTTTTGTTTTGTTTTGTTTTGTTTTGAGGCAGTGTTTTGCTTTGTAGCCTGAGCTGGATTGCAGTTTACTGTATAGCTTGGGCTGGCCTCAACTTCACTATCATCCTTCAACCTCCTGAGCGCTAGGGTTACAGCAGATACCGTCACACTTAACTAATAATGCCCTGGATCTCACTGTGCAGCTCTGGCTGTCCTAGAATTCAAGTTGTAGACCAGGGTGGCCTTAAACTCAGAGATCGTCTGCCTCTGCCTCCTGAGTGCTGGGACTAAAGGTGTTTGCCATCACCTCCTGGCTCCAATAGTTGTTTTGAGTGCAGGAAGTCATAATCATGTTTTCAAGATGGCTTAATGAATCAAAGTGTATTTTAATTTTTAATACTAGGGCACTGTGGATTCAGAAGTGAAAAAGCCATTAATTATTCCTACATCTTTGAGTGTTTCTGCCAACAGCAAAAGCTGCAGAGATTTTTTTTTTTAACTATAAAATGAGGATTAGATGGATACACTGATTAATTATCAAGCATTGGAAAACAGACCAACCAAACCAAATACTTGTCATTTCACTGTGTGTTCAATACTAAAGACATTTAAACCTGCTAGAGGTTTAATACATTACATTTTAGACGCAGAAATCAAATTCAAAAGAGAATCTAGGAACTCCTGGCAGGTGTGGTGATGCCTGCCTTTAATTCTAACACTGAGGATGAGGATGCAGAGGCAAGTGATCTCATCTCTATGATCTTGGGACCAGCCTGGTTTACAGAGTGAGTTCCAGGCTAGCCAAGACTGCATAGTGAGACCCTGTATCATAAAAATAAATAAGCAAATGATCTAGAGATTCCTATTGTCTTGTTCATATCACTTTTTATAGGCAGACTTTTCTGTCCCACCAGCCAATTCTGTTACTAGCCAACTCTTAACAACTTCATTTAACCCATTTCTGTTAATCTATGTGCTGCCCTGAGGCTCATTTACCTCATGTATGTATGTATGTGCATTCCATCCTGCTCGTTCTATGACTCATGGCATCTCTCAATTCTCCAACTCCAGCATCCTCTTAGTCTGGTTCTCCTGCCTAACCTTATCCTGCCTAGCAAGAGGCCAGTTAGCTTCTTTATTAAATCAATCACAGTGACATATACACACAGTGTAAAGGAATATTACACATTTCCCCTTTTTGTCTAAATAAAAAGAAAGGTCTTAACTTTAACTTAGTAAAATTATATACAACAAAAAACAGTTATCAAGTCAGAATTAGTTACAATATCCAGTCCATTTGTATTTGGCAAATTTGAAGAAAATACTATTTTATCTTTGTGAGTCTAAAGATTTATACCTAATTTACCTTTTTTTTTATAATTAAGGAAAACTTTAAGTCTAATTATTTAGTCTTTAATTCCCTTAAAGACCCCAGAAGAGTGTAATATTATAAAGGACATCTGGCTGCCTGGACAGTCACCCAAGGTTCTTCTGTAATATTGGGGCATCCATCTATGGCCTACAGGCTTAGGATATCTGACAGACATTTTTTTTTTAAGATTTTATTTATTTATTATGTGTACAACATTCTGCTTCCATGTATATCTGCACACCAGAAGAAGGCACCAGATCTCATAATGTGTGCTTGTGAGCCACCATGTGGTTGCTGGGAATTGAACTCAGGACCTCTGGAAGAGCAGCCAGTGCTCTTAACCTTGAGCCGTGTCTCCAGCCCCTGACAGACATTTCTAAGAAGCAGAGAATTTTGAAAGACTGTCCTACCTTGTCTTGGCAAAGTTGTCAGTCATGTTTTTTTGTTTGTTTGCATCCTCCTAGTCCATTTTGGACAGTATACTGTCAGCAATTGAGGCAAGGGCAGTTTCTTTGCCCAAATGACTAGCTTTTACCATAAAGAAAACAAACAAACTCCATATGGAGGTTTTTCATTCCCGTCATCTTCTCTGAAGTAGATTGGTGCTGCCAGGAGCAGATGTGTCTCACTGTCATGAAATTCTTAGGTTACTAAAACAACTTAAATGCCATATTCTGTAGATCTCTCAAGTATTTGAAGAGTACCTATCTATCTAAAATACATCTCTGTTTGACCTTGAAAATATACTTGACTATAAGTTTGACTACTATAGATGACTATTAATCTGTATTTTGTAATGATATATTGCATTTTTTAATGAGCTGTATAAACACAATATCCTAAACAAGAGTTTATGGTATACATACAATATAACAAAGTTAACTTTAAATTTGTATCAATGTACCAAAATCCATATCAATGTAAATTATTTTGAGATAGTTGTGTTTTGGATTAAAGTAGATTTAATAATCTACCCTTTTTCCTATCATTCCTATATCATATTCCCCTTTTTTCCTTTAGAAAGAGATCTTTGAATTTAACTATTTTGTTTTAGTCTTTTTTTTACTATGACCAATAACAACTTGTACCCAAATCCACTAAACAATGATGAACATTCCATAATCCATTGAGTAAGCAAAACCTTCCTATACCCCATCTCTTGGGAATGTAGACATCATTCTTTAGACTACTTTCTGTTTTGGGGAAGCACTGACATTTTGGGGGAAACCTTGAGAAAATCAGGATAATGGTTAAGTCTTGGATGGAGTATTCTGTAAGGCTGGACTATCTCAACCAGCAGCCTTGAAGCTATTCTGGATGCAGAACTCTGAGGAAGCTACAACAGCGGTGCTTTGAGATGTTCGATTATCTGGGCCATCCATTTTTATTGGTGTCTAGTCCCTGTGTTCTGAAATACATAAACTTCAACGGTAACATAGCTGTATTAATACAAGTATAGATTGTGTTGTACTCAAAATAGCCAAATATAATAATTTGTTTTATGTTTGACCAGGTAAAATATATATTATGTGTTTTGTAGTTTTTCTTGGTTTATTTCTTTATGTCTGTAGCCAGGATTTTCAGGGGGTCTTCCCCAATCAAACCTGATGCATAGCAACCTGGAATGAATCCACAGCTTCTCATTTCCTATAGAAATAAAAGTATAACCTCGCCCTCAAAGCAACACACCTTTTGACTTCAGTTTTGAAGTTAAGATATTTTTAAAACTCTAGTAGCTTTCATAAGCAAATGTCTGTTAGCAGCTGTCATTTGTTCATCAACAATCAGAAAATTAAGAGACAACAAAATAGCATATAGGATCCAGAGTCTCTGTGTGTTTTCTATCTTTACTTGGCTTATTTTTTTTTTTTTTAACTTTACTCTTTGTTTGTTTGTTTTTTTGTTTTTCTGAGACAGGGTTTCTCTGTAGCTTTAGAGTCTGTCCTGGAACACGTTCTGTAGACCACGCTAGCCTTGAACTCACAGAGATCTACTTGCCTCTTCCTCCATAGTGCTGGAATTAAAGGCGTGTGCCACTCCTTTTTTTTAAGGATTTTGCTGTTTTTAAACTATTCTTTAATCTATGACTGTATGTAACCTTTCTCTTTTGCTCCCAAACCTATGTACATTTTAAAACACACTGTAACCCATTTAGAGGTTTCTTTTGTCTGGATCTGTCTTTACTGAGCATCTGTATTGTTTTCTGATCACATGAGATGAATTTTAAACTACTATGTCAGCTGCCAACACTGCTGAGTTAGTGAAAGGCACCAGTGCATGACAACTGGCTCCATCCCGAAGGCAGCTGCCAGGAGATGTGTCTCTGTACTGCAGCCAGCATGAGAGACTAGGAACCTGTGTTTGGCTCCATTTTTGTGTATTTAGACCCCTTTTTTCAACTTTCTCAGGTCTCAATGTGGATGTAGGTTCCAGCTGTTTGGGTGTCCTGCCAACCAGTTCCCAAATAACCACTCAGACTTACTATTAATTATAAATGCTCTGCCAATAGCTCAGATTTGTTGCTAGTTGACTCTTACAACTTAAATTAACCCATTTCTACTAATCTATGTGCTGCCCCAGTCTCCTTTACCTCATTTATGTACTTCCATCCTGTTCCCTCTGCCACTTATGGCATCTCCTCTCAATTCTCCGACTCTGCCCTTCTTCCCAGCCTCCTTTTAGTCTGGTTCTCCTGCCTAACCTTATCCTGCCTAGCTATAGGCCAATCAGCTTCTTTATGAAAACAATCACAGTGATATATATTCACACAGTAAAGGAATAGTCCACAACTTTTGCTGTAGTAAATTTAAGCCATTTCTAACTGCCTTCCCAATAGGAAATGAGTTTTCTCTGTGCCTGTAATTCAGGCATTAAATTATAAGAAATGGTGGTAATTTAGGGAAAATGTCACATTCTTTTTTCAGCTCTTGAATTACTTTCATTAAAAAATGAGAGTCAGAGCACGCCTCTGATTCTGAGACTGTTGAGTCTGAGGCAGGAGAATCACAAGTTAAAGGTCAGCTAAAGCTGTACAGTTATACCCTGTCTCAAAAGAATTTTTTTTTTTTTTTTTTTTTTTTTACTAATTATCCTCTGTATTAAGTCCTGGATACAATCTAAACGTTGGCATTAATAGGACAGTTGGTAATTTGAATAGTCCACCATTTAGATCATAGCATTTTTTGGGGGGGTGGGAGGTTTCAAGACAGGGTTTCTCTGTGTAGCTTTGGAGCCTATCCTGGCACTCGCTCTGGATACCAAGCTGGCCTTGACCTCACAGAGATCCTCCTGCCTCTGCGTCCCGAGTGCTGGGATTAAAGGCATGTGCCACCAACACCCAGCTCAGATCATAGCATTTATTACCTAGCAACTGGTAGTTGTCTGATTTTGACAACTGTACTGTGGCTATATAGTTATAAGACAAATAGGAAAATTTGGGGTGATGAGTATTGAAAATCCTTTATTTATATTGTTTCTGCTACTTTATTTTCTTTTTACAAATAGGTTATTTTATTTTATTACATTTTCATTTATTGTGTGTGTGAAAGAAGACAACTTGAGGGAGTCAGTTGCCTCCTTCCCCTGTGCAAGTCCTAAGGAAGAAAGTGAGGTCATCTGGCTTAGCAGCAGGTTCTCTTACCCACTGAGCCATCTCAGCACATGTTATTTTATGTTATCTGGGTAGTGGTGGCGCACGCCTTTAATGTGGTGCACTTGGGAGGCAGAGGCAGCCTCTGCAAGTTTGAGGCCAGCTTGGTCTACAGAGAGAGTTCCAGGACAGCCAGAGCTGTTAACACAGAGAAACCCTGACTAGAAAAACAAAACAGACAAACAAAAAATTATAAGAAAGTTATTTAGCCTGATGTGGTGGCACACGTCTTTAATTCCAGGACTTGGGAGGCAGAGGCAGGAAGATCTCCGTGAGTTAAGGCCAGCCTGGTCTACATAACAAGCTCCAGAACAAACAAGGCTACATAGAACTTGTCGCCCCTGCCCCTGAAAAAAAAGGTTATTTAAGGATAAAAAGCCCAGAGCTAGACACGGTAATGGTATAGGCCTTAATCCCAGCTGCTGAGGAGGCTAAGGCAGGAAGATCATGAGTTAGATGCCTGCACTCAGTATGTTTGAATCTAGCCTAGATGACTTAGTGAGACCTTGTCCAGTGTGTGAGAAGTCCCAGTATAAGGGAAAAAGGTTAGGACTTAGCATGTGTCTCACTGGAAACTCTAGGTTTGATGCCCAGCATTGCAGTCAGCTGATAGAGGAAAATTAAAGTATTTTATAAGTTTTTAAAACTGTTGTTTATAGTAACTGCCTTAAATTCTATCCAGAACAACAGAATATTAATAAAGTTCTGATTCTTTGGCTGCCTGGTTTGTGTATGGCATGCCTGTGCATACATAGGCAATATCTACTCCCTTCTGTTACTTCTCATAGGAACGGTAACTGTCACTTCCTATTTCCTTTTGTGGAGAAGGCTGCATGTAAAGCCAAGAGTGTTAGTAAGAAGTCAGAATAGTTTTGGCAAGATGCAGAGACCTGAGTTAAGTCTCCAGCCAGGACCTACATGGTAGAGAGAGAACTTGTTCTAGTAGGTTGTCTGCTGACCTCTACATATGCTCTCCTAAGTCAGAATAATAAATGGAGCTGGCAAGTTGACTCAAAGGATAAAGACATGTGCAGGCAAGACTGACAGCCTGAGTTCGATCCCTGGGATGTGGTGGAAGGACAGTTGTCCTCAAACTAGCTCCATTGCATGCCCTTGCATAATTGTGCACATTTACACATACACTAAAATAAACGTGAAAGATTTAAAATTTTTATTTAGCAAAGCTATTCCCTGTCTTCTCCATCTTATTGCAGAAGCCAGTGAAACTCTCTGCCCTAGAGTAAGGTTCTTTGGTCTTATTTACTCAGGCTCATTAAGACAGCTGTTGCTAGACACTACTATAAAAAGGATCCCATCTTCCAGAGGGTGCCAGATCTGCCCTGGAGGTAGACCACACGGCTCTACCTTAGATAGCCAGTTCATACTCTGAACTATCCTAACTAGAAATTCAGCAGGAGAAATAGTTGCTTTTTCCTGTAGTGCTGAGGTTTGGACCCAGTGTTCTGTGTGTGTTGGACAGGTGCTTTACCACTGAGCTATATCACCAGAACTTTAAAAAGGGCCTTTCATTCACTCTAGCCCAGGCAAGCCTTGAACTTGGATCTCCCTAGTAACTGGAATTGCAGGCCTGTAGCAGCACCATGGCTAGCTTTGCTCAGACCTTTAGTTTTATGGCTCAGGCTGTCCTGAAATTTGCTGTATATAGTAGGCTGGTTTTAAATTCCCAGTACCCCTGCTTCAGCCTCCTGAATGTTAGGGTTATAGACATGTGTCATTCTACCTAGCAGATATGTGTGAAATAATTTTTAACATTCTCTTACAGGTTTCTTTTGAATTCCGCTCACTTCTGCACTCTCAGCTTGCTACACTGTTCTTCGATGAAGTTGTGAAACAAATGGTAGCTGCCTTTGAAAGAAGAGCGTGTAAACTGTATGGTCCAGAAACAAACATACCTCGGGAATTAATGCTTCATGAAATTCACCATACCTAACAGGAAAATATGAACTGCCACCACCTACTTTTGACTAGTTTATTCACTTTTAGGAAGTCCTCTCACCCTCCACTCAGAAGTCAGGAAGCATTTGTTAAGCCTGCCTTGATTCTAAGCTCACTTGCTCCATTGAAAATGTGTGCATTGAATATGGACCCTCTTGTACATAGAATTATTTCTTCTTCAATCAAGTGTAACTCAAAGTAATGTGTACATTTGCAGGTGCTGCCTTTGTAATAATGGCTGTCATCACTGTTGCTAAGATACTGCATTCCTCATTTGAGTTCCGAAGTGGAACTAACACGTCTTTTAATTAACCCCTTACGTGAAAGGTTAGCTGTGTGTTATATTAACCGTATCATGTTTAAGTTATTAGGTTCAGGGTATTTGTAACTTATTGTTATTGGGCCTGTCATACGTCTTAGGGTATTTGAGTAATCAAATATTTAACGTTGAGACTTTGATTTGAAGTACTACTAATGAAGTCTTAGCACTTTGACATTTTTAGTTGTACTTATGGTAGCAGTAGATAATTCAGTGTAGTTGGGAAGTTGCTCCCAGATGTACTGAGTAGGTTTTTGATTTGTTTTTTGTTTTTTTTTGTTTTTGTTTTTGGTGAGTGGTCCAGAGCTCCAAGCTACTTTTCTAAACATTAGAAACCTCCCCTCAGGTGCTTTGCCTGCACTTTCAAAATGCTAATTGCGTGTCAAAATCTTGTCTGTCACTGTAGGCAGCAGATAAATAAGTTAATTAATATTCCTCCAGCACTGCACATCCCATTTTCTATTTATTGTGCATATTCACTTTCAATAATATTCTAAACTGATATTTTTTTAAAAACAAATCAATGTAAGGGCTGAAGTCATGACTTAATAAAGTTAATTTGTTTATTTTTGTATAGTGACTTTGATTATTTAAATCTTTAATGAATTGTTTCAATGTCTATTCTGACAGATGGCCTAGTTTGTGTCCCTGTTGCTATTGTAAACACCATGAGCAAAAGCCCTTGTGAGAAATATATTTATTCAAGGCAGGAGCTAGAGGGAGACCTGAAACACAGACTGGGAGTGTTGCTCCTGGCTTGTTCCCAGGCTAGTGTTCAGCTGGCTTTCTTAGACAATGAAGACCCACCTACCCAGGGGTGATACCACCTATAGTAGCTTGGCCCTCCTACATCAAATAGCTGTCAAGCAAATGTCTCACAGACGTACCCAAAGGCCAATCAGATGGCAGCAATTCTTTAACTGATACTCCTTCTTCCCAGGTGACTAGGTGTGTGTCAGGTTGACAACTATAGCAACAGAAATACAGTACTATAGAATTTCATGAAGTTTCATGGGTTTGGAGAGATGACTCAGAGGATGAGAGCACTGGCTGCTTACCCTTCCAGAGAGAGGTGTTGAGTTTAATTCGCTGCACGTGGTTGCTCATAACCATCTGTAATGAGAACTGGTGCCCTCTTCTGGCGTACAGGCATACATGTAGGCAGAACACTGTAGATATAATAATTTTTTCTTAATTACTTTCAGGGGGCTGGAGAGAAGGCTTGGGTTAAGAGCACTGACTGCTGCTCTTCAGCAGAACCCAGGTTCAACTCCCAGCACCTACATGGCAGCTCACAACTGTCTAATTCCAGTTCCATCGGATCTGACACCCATGGCAAAACAATGCACATAAAATTTAAAAATAATCAATTAAAAAGTTACTTTCATGGGTACAATGTTTATCCTCGATTTGATCCTCAGCACTGCCAAAACAAAAAACTTTGCATAGAGACTGACAAGCTTGAACTAAACTCATTCTATCTAATCAGTTATCTTCTCCCCTCCTTTTACTCTGTCCTGAGTCACCTCTTCCTGCTAAACTTGTAGTCATGATGCTTTCAACTTTACACGGTGCTTGTGGGAGTTTGCTCAGTAGTCTGTAAATCCTGTTCTCTTGGCTCTGGCTGTGTGGCTGAGAGGAACTCAGGCTATCTACTCACATGGCTTACTTGTGCTTTTAACAAGTGAAACTAGATCTTCCCATTTGCACATGTCCAGAGCAAAATGGTCTGCATGCAACTGTGATCCCTTGAATTTGATTTGTATTTTGGTATTTGGGTTAGTTTTGGTGGGGTGTCATTAGCCCAGGCGTGCCTGGAACTCACTATGATGCAGGAGGTGGACTCATGACTGAGGCTGCTGTCCAGCTTCCCAAATGCTAAAAGTATAGGTGTGAGCCACCATCCCTGTTTGTGTTCTTTTGTTGTTATTTTTTTTGCGCGCGCGCTCGAGTGTGTGTGTGTGTGTGTGTGTGTGTGTGTGTGTGTGTTTGGGTGCATGTGTGCATATGGTGTTTTACAGTTGACATTGGATGTCTCCCCTGAGGGCTCTTCATGCTATTGTGGCAGAGTCTTTTGCTGAATCTGGAGCTCACTGATTCTAGCTAGTTGAGCTAGACAGGATGCCCTGGGATACCTGTCTATGCCTCTCAAGTGCTGGAATTACAGATGCTGCCTTCCCTGCCTGACTTTTGACTTTTTACATGCATGCTGGAGATGGGAATGCTGGTCCTCATGTATGTATTGTCAGCACTTTATCCTTCAAGCCATCACCCCAGCCCTGGGGAGAGCATTCTACTGATAGGACATCCTACTGCTGCTTTGCTAAATGGACACGTTGTCTAACTGCCTTCTGCATGTTTGCTTTTCCCTATAGATGTGTACCACTTTTCACCAGAGCTGCTTTTTCTTTTTTTTTTCCCTTGGGTGGTAATGAATGCAGACTCATAACTTCAGAGTGCTGAGACTAAGTGCTCTACCCTAAATGGGGCATCTATATTATCCACTCCAAGGCTTTAGGGAACATCTTGCAAGAAAGAGTGGAAAGACTATGAGCCGGGAGGTAGGGAGGAATGCTGAAAGAACGTCTGGACTAGACCTGACTTTTGCACTCAGGAGCTCACCACTGCACAAAGTTGGAGGACATCCACATTCCATCATGTACTGGGGGGGGGGGAGTCCTGGCAGACTATTGGCAATTAATGGTTGCTGAGAGAGGAGGTGTCATTTTCTTCTCTGTTTAGCCACTGGTAAGTTGCTCATGATCCAGTAAGAAACTCCCCAAGCCCAGCTTGTGCAAGCAACCTTAAGTAAACTCGGGGTCTCCAAAAAAATGGCAGAGGTGGTGGTGGGGGAACAACCACTTGTTTAGAAGAAAGATTTCATGGGAAAGATAGGGAGTAGTGAGAGGATAATGGGGATTGTTATATACATGTATGAAATTGTTCCCCAAAAAGTATGGGGTGGGAGACTCCTGGAAAGACAGGGTGTATCATGTTTGCACATCTCGTCCCAATCTCATTCTACTGCAGTTTTCTTCCTAGGATTCTGTGGAAAATGCCTTGGAAATGTTGACTTAACATGTTTGAGAGTAGTTCAAGTGTGATAAGCAGGCTTTACCATCTCAGTTTAATCCCTGGGGCCTACAATGGAAGGAGAGAGCTAAGTTTAGGGAGTTGTCCTCTGGCATCATATGCACTTGGGATGCTCAGCCTGCCCCAATAAATACATGCAAGACTTTATGTTTTTTGTTATTTTGGTGGTTGTTTTGTTTTATTTTCCAAGATAGGGTTTCTTTGTGTAGCTCTGGCCATCCTGGAACTCGATCTGTAGACTGGGCTGGCCTTGAACTCAAGAGAACCACCTACCTCTGCCTACCAAATTCTGGGATTAAAGACTTGCCACAAAAAAAAAAAAAAAAAAAAAAAAAAAAAGACATGCCACACACACCCCTGCTGGTTTTATTAAACATTATACCCTAAAAAGACATTTTTATGGATTCAAATGAGTTGGCTTCATTACAAAAATCGTAACAGTGGCAGTGGTATCAGGAATTTTTAATATAGAAGACCCCAATATGTGTCAGAAGTATCTGGTCCTCATTTGTGACCAACAAAATACAGAGTGGATCATTTATTTTCAAGCCTTTTTGCCTGTGTACTATCAATAGTAATGATCACACAGGAAGGATGGAGAGACCACACCATTATGGGGAAAAAAATAAAGCCCCAGATTTATTGGTGTATTGTGACCAAGAGTTATGGTGATACATTATTTATGACTTATTAAAGCTTGCCTGAGGGTTCAGAAAGCAAAGCTAGCCACCACCCCTAGAGCTAGGCACCTTTAATCCCAACAGCCAGAGCCATGTGGTGGTGGCACACACCTTTAATCCCAGGACTCACAAAACAAGCAGATACATCTCTGTTAGTTCAAGGCCACACTGAGCTACATGAACTTGATCCAGTCTTAATGAGAGACAGCTTCACACAAAGGTGATCTCAGCACTTGGGATCCTAGGCCTTTAATCCCAGAATTTGAGAGGTATAAAAGGAGGCAGCAGTCTGGGATTGCAATCTGAGGCTTGGTGTAAGGATTTACTCTCCAGCCACACTGAGGACAGGACAGCCCTTTCAGCCTGAGGTAGAGATAAGATGGCTATCTGCTTTGCTTCTCTGATCTTCAGCTTCAACCCCAAACATCAGTCTATGGGTCTTTTATTATTCCTGTTACAAAAAGTCCTTAATTTTAAAATGCTGGGCTGTCAGGCTTCAAAGCACAGCTCCTTGTGCTTTGAAGAGTCAAGATATCTGCCAGTGTGAAGTGTAAGACTCAGGAATTTGACCCTAAACCCAGAGGTGGCACATACCTTTAATCCCAGCACTTTGGGAGACTGAGATACAGTTTATCTCTGAGTTCAAGGTCACCCAACCCGTCTACAGAGGAAATTCCAGGACAGCCAGGACTATACAGAAAAACAGGCCTTTTAAGCATTTCCTGTTTCTTCAACATTGACACTGACATTCACCAGACTGGAGCTGCAGCAGTTTTGGAGCCATCAAAATCTAACTACCTGGAGGTCTCTGCCACAGTGGCAATACTCTAATTAGAGAGTTTCCCTTCTGGGATAGCAGGGTGACTGTACAGTAGGGTTCCTTTCCTCTTGGTTACTCATTTATGCAAGTACATTTCCACAGCTAAATATTGGGCTAGTATTTGCTCCCCCTTTCCATTTCTGGCTCATTTGTTGATTCTGGAAATTTCCACCCTTTGTTCAAATAAACCCTTTGTGACAATGGATTGGAGCCTGATGCACTTATTCCTGCTTCCTCTGCATCCTTTAGTTAAAAGTTACCTTGGGGAAAAAAAAAGTTACCTTGGTTCTTCTTGTAGCCATCACTGTTTGAGATATTTGTAAAATGAAGGTTGGGAATTCAGCCCAGGTCCTCATTTGGCCTATTCAATTGGGCAGACCCCTGGTAAATCTGGACTCACTCTAACATTTAAGTACGGAAGGCTGGTTAATGCTGCTGCTAGGTGGTGCCTAGAATACACCATTAGACAGAAAAACAGTATCATAAACTATATGGGAATGCACACACCAAAGCCAGAGGGAAATTTTGGAGTTGGGAGTTCCAAGGATTGAACTCAGAAGCTCATCAACTGTGAAGACTTGCTGGCTACCTAGCACCAGGGATCTATCTCTGCCTTTGCCAGCATAACCAGCACCTGACCTGGCCAGCTCCCAGATTCACAGATGAGTACCATGCTCCCCTTTAAGGCCAGGTCTCACGACTACACCCCAAACTAATGAAACAAATCAGGGTCTTGCCTTTTGTAAAAACCCCCATCACTAAAATAATTTTATCTCCAAGGAAGAACAGAGGTGGGATACATGTGGCATTTCTACACACCCAACTGTGCTCTTTTCTGGCTTCCATTTCTCCCATCCTTATGACTACGACACAACCAGAACTTTAAACAAAATTTTATTACACAAAAGTTGTCACATAATTGGATACTTCTCTACTTTGTACACAATTATTCTCACTCTCCACAGAAAGGCTGCTTCTGAA